GTATTTGGTGTAGCAGCAGCTCACATCTGTCTCTTTAATCTTGATCTGTAAAATGAGACATCTGCCCCCAAAGCAGCAGTCCCCAACCTTTTTGGCACCAGGGACCGGTTCATGGAAGACAGTTTTTCCACGGACCCGGGTTAGGGAGGTGTGAGCGGGGCCCAGGTTTCAGGATGGTTCAAGTACATTACATTTATTGTGCACTTTATTATTATTATGTTTTAATAGATAATAAAATAATTATACAATTCACCATAATAGAAAATTAGCGGGAGCCTTGAGCTTGTTTTCCTGCAACTAGATGGTCACGTTTGGGGGTGATGGGAGACAGTGACAGATCATCAGGCATTAGATTCTCATAAGGAACATGCAACCTAGCTCCCTCGCATGCACAGTTCACAATTGGGTTCGTGCTCCTATAAGAATCTAATGCTCCCTGTGATCTGACAGGAGGCGGAGCTCATGCTTCACCCTCCTGCCACTCACCTCCTGCTTTGTGGCCCAGTTCCTAGCAGACCACATATCAGTACCAGTCCGTGGCCTAGGCGTTGGGACACCTGCTCTAGAAGATAATGTGAAGATTTCTGAATTCCTGCTCACAAAATGAAGCATCTTAAGAGAAAAAAGAACAAACCACTCTCGTCATCATTATTGATTTATGTTATATCAAGGATTAAGACCTTCATATGGGCCAGGTGGCTTATACCTGTAATCTCAGCACTCTGGGAGGCTGAGGCAGATGGATTGCTTGAGCTCAGGAGTTCGAGACCAGCCTGGGCAACATGGCGAAACCCCATCTCTACAAAAAATACAAAAAAATTAGCAAGGTGTGGTGGCGCACACGTATGGTCTTAGCTACTCAGGAGGCTGAGGCGGGAGGATCGTTTGAGCCCAGGATGTCAAGGCTGCAGTGAGCTGTGATTGTGCCACTGCACTCCAGCCTGGGTGACACAGCAAGATGCTGTCTCAAAAAAAAAAATAAATAACAAAAAGTCATATGCAAGGTTTACTATTATCATGTGGAAGACCAAGGTATTGTTTTTGACAATTATGAATTATAAAAATATAATTCATGTTATTTAAAGAAATTGATTTAAAAATTGCTCATTATTGTCTTCTGGAAAACATTTTAATATAAAAATGATTAATAAGTAGTTTTATCTTATGAGAAACATAATGAAACTATCCATTTATTTTTTTCCAGGTGCAACTAATTGTCTATATTAGTGGCTACCTTCAGATACAGTTTCCCAAGTGTGTTCTCATGCTTATACTGAAAAATTGAGTCAGCTTTGTATTGTTTGGATTATAGTATATAAAAATCTCTATTTTAGTCTGCCTGTGTTCAGAATAAAATTCAGGGTATTTATTATTCTGCCTTTAAAGTTAAGAAATGCTGATAGATTTGTTTAAATTTCACTTTTCTGATTGGAAGCCTTTTCAAGTACGTGAAATTAATTATGGACAATTTAAACCATATTCCTTTATTACATTTTTAATTAAAGAACTACCTGACATTAAACTTTGTTTTTTTATGTGTCATCAATGTTATAAATTTTCCAACGTAAAGTAGAAAAAACAGAAAAATCTCCTTTAAATCCTTTGTACCACTTTGTACATTTTCTGATGTGGTATGTTTTTGTAGAGCCATGGGCAAAGCTCCATTTAAGGAAGCCATGGCTCTTGCACTTCTTACCTGATCTATCCCAAAAGAAATCTGCAAGTCAACTTGCTTTTGTGCTTTAAGGGTTGCCTTAGTTGTTCAGAAGTCACAAACCCTAGGTGCTGCACCTCCTTCAACAGCTGATTTTCTGTTTGACTTGCGCAAGTCAATTAATCAATGTTGTCCTTATGTGGGAAATAAGTATAATAATTATAGGAAACCTTAGCTAGTTTTTCATGCTAGGACCCAAAGGGTAGATGCAATTGGGTGGTGTATTAGTAACAAGAGTCTTGTCTTGGTTTTGCTACTTCAGAAAATCATGTGTATTAGACACCAGAGGGACTGTTCTTTGATAATTTGACTCACTTAGTTGATAATTTGACTCACTTAGCTGTTTAACTAATTTAATTTATCCTAATTAAACTTGCTTTCAAGCAAGAAGCATAGTTGACTGACTTACTATAATAAATATACCTGCTGAATAGGCTAGAATTTGCTGATGACTAGTCAGTGCATTTTCCCAGCAGGGCAGTCTGTTAAGAAACCAAATATAGATGCAAAGGTCAAAACAAAGGAATTGGGTAGTTTAATGACATCATTGAGGTACGGTGGTAACCAAGAAAGGCAAGTTGCTGAAAGGTCTTTCTATCAAACTAGTCAGAAGCCTTAGAATCAAAGGATTCCAATGATCCATCTCACTTTATTCAAGTCCTGAAAAAATAGGGTTAGGTCAGGCACAAGTTATAACAATTAAGATTTATTAAGGAAGGTTCTGAACTGTACCTAGACTTACTTCTTTTTCCAGAGATTTTATTATGAAATTTTTCAAACATACAGAAAAGTGAAAGGAATCATACAGTGGATATCTGTATATACACCACCCAGATTGTACTCCTGATATTTTATTGCACTCTCATATTTGTTTATCCATCCTTCCATCAATCTCTTATTTTTATACATTTCTAAGTAAGTTGCAGACACTAATATACACTTAACTTTTTACGTTGACATTTTTGAACATTTGAAGTCTCATATACCCATTACTCAGACCCACCAACTGTTCACATTTCATCAGTCTTGTTTTATCTCTTTCCCTAACGCTTTTTTTCTTGAGTAGTTTAAAACAGACAACATATCATTTCATTCACAAATACTTATATCTCTAACATATAAGGATTTAAAATACTATCATTTAACATAATCAACAAAATTCTTCAGTTTATCTAATACCTAGTCCTTGTCAGTTTGCCTTGCTTATCTGAAAAAATGTTTTTCTATATTTGTTTTGTTTGAATCAGAGTTCAAATAAGGTCCACATATTACAATTGGCTATGTCTCTGAAATCTCTTTTAATTTTGTAACATTCCCTCCCTCCTTTTTTTATAGTATTGATTTGTTGAAGGAATTGGGTCACTTATCCTGGAGAATTTACATGCTCTATTTGGTTGGTATGTTTAACCAGTTCCTCTTTACTCTTTATTACCTGTAAACTGGTGGTTAGATACAAATGTGTGATTAAATTCCAGGCCAGTTATTTTGGCAAGAAAATGTCATGGGTGGTGCTGGTACTTAAAATTGGGCAGCACATGATGCGTGGTCACCCCGTGGTTAGTGATACTAAGACCGATCTGTGGGTTCAAATGTTGGAAGGTTGGTGACTCCAGTACAGAAGTTTACTATTATGTAATTTTCACAACATTATGACCATTTCCTAGATACATTCATTAATTTGGACTTACAAAATGGTGACTTTTCTAATTTGATCATTTCTTCTGCGTTTATTGGAAGATAAGTCACCTTATCAGCTACTTGGTGACTCTGAAATGTATTTTTTGACCACAAAAGCAGGATAAATGTTTTATTCTATTTCTTTATTTACCAGTTTGCAGAATAATGAATTGTTGCCCTACCAGCCTCCAAAGGTTTTACAGTTTATTTTTATTTTGTCTTTATTGTGGTTTAAAAAAACATAAAATTAGCCATCTTAACCATTTTCAACTGTACAGTTCAGTAGTGTTAAATATCTTTACTTTGTTGTACAACAGATCTCCAGAACATTTTCATCATATAAAATGGAAAATCTATACACATTAAACAACTCCTCATTTTCCCTTCCCCCCAGGCCCCAGCACCCACCATTCAACTTCTGTCTTTATGAATTTGACTGTTCTAGGTACCTCATGTTGGGATCATACAGTATTTGTCCTTTTCTGATTGGCTTATTTCACTTAGCACAATGCCCTTAAGATTCATCTATGTTGTAGTATGTGACAGGATTTCCTTCCTTTTAAGGCTGAATCCAAAGGTTTTTATTTTTATTTTTTAAATTTTATTTATTTATTTTTAGATGAACTCAAGGATTTTCATGTATTTCCTGTGTTTCAGTGCATTACAGTCAGTATCCTTTTGGGGCTGAAATCGTCCCATCATTGACAGTGGGAGCTTCCTCAAGATATCCCCTCCCCACCTTCAGTTCTTTTGATACAACTTTGAGAGCTTCCTTGCTTTCTGGTACCCACAAGATATTTCAGGTTCATCTTGTGCGTTTCCTGCCCCAGACCTGAATAGGGCATTTCTTTAATGAACTCTGGTTCCTTTTAGTATATAAATACCACAGCCTGGGTAGCAGTATAGGCTTACTTTTTAACGCTTTCCTAATATCTTAATTTTTAAAAACCTGTAAGTAGACCATGGTAAGAGTGTAACAAAACAACTGCCGTCGAGATGAAAATGTGATCTTTTTCTCCTGACTACATGTGGAAGACTGACCATCTATGCAGTGATTCAAAACCATTGTTGTACTTTAGAATCACTCTGTGAGCCTTAAAAATCCCACTGACCAGACCAGGCATGGTGGCTCACACCTATCATCTCAGCACTTTGGGAGACCGAGGCAGGTGGACTGCTTGAGCCCAGGAGTTTATGACCAGCCTGAGCAACATGATGAAAGCCAGTCTCATGACCCAGTCTCTAAATAAAGAAATAGATTAAATTTTTAAAATAAATTTTTTAAAAAGCCCACTGGCCAAGCCGCACCCCAGACCATTTTTCCTGGACTCTGTAGAGGTGACCCCAGGCACCCAGATTGTGCAGAACTCACCAGGTTGTTCTGCGTGCAGCAAAAGTTGAGAATACTCACTTAGCAATGAAATAACCAAAGTTTTTAAAAGTTAAAAAAAAATGATACTTGTACTCAAAACTCACTTAGTCCAGAATATGTTGAGTTCTAGACTTTTCTGGATAAACCATCTTCTACTAACATAATTGAGGCCTTTAAAAAAGTAGGAATCTTATAATATTACAAATCTATAGTGAGTGTCCTGTTTCTGTTTTATAGACCTGGACAAGCACCAGACTCAGGCGTACCGAGGGCACTGGTGGGTCAGCATGTTGCCACCTTGAAAGAACATGATAATTCTCTCAAAGAAGAGGTAGGTAGCTAAACTGTCTGAAGTTTTCCCAGTCACAAATGTGGACCACAGAGCAAGGTTAGTAATTTTTATTTAAAAAAGAAAGAAAAAGAAAAGTTTTGGCCGGGTGTGGTGGCTCACGCCTGTAATCCCAGCACTTTGGGATGCCGAGGCGAGCAGATCACGAGCTTAAGAGATCAAGACCATTCTGGCCAACATGGTGAAACCCCGTCTCTACTGAAAGTACAAAAATTAGCTGGATATGGTGGCATGCGCCTGTAGTCCTGGCTACTTGGGAGGCTGAGGGAGGAGAATTGCTTGAACCCAGGAGGCGGAGGTTGCAGAGAGCCAAGATCACGCCACTGCACTCCAGCCTGGGTGACAGAGTGAGACACTATCTCAAAAAAAAAAAAAAAAAAAGGTTTCCAGATGTGCCAGTTATTCATTTGAGGAAATGTTATGTATTTGAAAAAAACAACGATAAGAAAAGTAGTAAGTGAGGTTTTGTGGTTGGTTGGTTTTTAACTTTCTGACCTCAGGCCTTTTGCAGAATGTTTTATGTAAGAATTCATTTTCCAAGAAATTTCAAAGCGTCTTATAACACTCTGGTTTTTCATCTCCACTCCATACTTCAGAAATACTGTATAGTCATTCATGTCAATTCAGCAAATACCTATCGATCCATTACTGTACACAGATATCAGCCCAGATCCATTGGAGGGAAAGAGACAAATAAAATGTGCCCCCCGCCTGCCTTCTGGGGTGTGACATCATGGGATGCATGTAATAAGAAAATGGCAAAAATACGGGCTTTCAGGAAAGAGAGCCAAGCCAAGACTCCTGGAGAAGCAAGGAAGGCAGAGGTCATGATAGAGGGAGTACAGGGGTGTGAGAGGTGATCCTTAAAAGATAGGCTTTTGATGGTATGAGTTGGCGGAGGGGGCAGAGGCGACAAGAAATGGCAGCTGTGAGCCAGAGAGCACACTGGGAAACCCAACACATACTCAAGCAACAGAGCCATCCTGAGGCTGAAGCGAGGACTCAAGTCTGGGGATGGTGAGAAGGAGCACAAGAAGCAGTTGCTGGCCATGGTGTGCAGCATCCAACACCAGGCCAGGGAGACTGTGTTTAGTTTCGTAGCTTTTGAAAAGCCACTGGAGCTTTTTGAACAGAGCTGTGATAGGAGTTCTGCAGTGCCTTAGGGAATTTCATGTTTGGTTTCGGACTGAGACATTGAAGGAGGGAGCCCTGCAGTGTTTCAGGCAAGAGGAAGGAGAGGCCTTGGGAGCTGGTGCCAAGAGAGAATTTGAAGATACTGAACAGAACATGGAAACGGATGGAGCAAGTTCCCAAGGAAATTATGAGGGGAGGAACCAGAAGCCCAAGTTTAGAGCATGTCCATTGGCATATTCCTTCCTCATTCCTTAGAAAAGTCACATTCAGGGAAACAGCCTTCTAGGTTGAACATCTTGGGAATGTGTCTTATTTCAAATCATGTTTTTTCATCTTTATATATAATATAGGATAATCTGGCTTTGGTTCTTTTTAAGGTGTTTTTAAAATTATTGTCATGCTCATAGTTCAAGGATTATGTACCTACACCTTCTGGAGTCAAGCTTTGCTGCCTCTGTCTTGAAGTCACATGCCTACGTGGCTGTGCCATCTAGAGCCTCTGGCATTCCCCCTCCAGCCTTCCAGAGCACCTTCAGTCCTCCTCAGACCCCTCTTTCCTTGCCGCTGCAATTAAGAGAGTAGTAGGACTTTTTTTTTTTACAGCGTTTCAAACATACATATATTCAGTGATAGGACAGACCCACTAATCCCATGCCCACAACCCAAATTCACATGTGTTGTTACCGTTGCACCATATTTGTTTCCGACCCCCTCCTCCTCCTCTTCCTCCTTTCCCCCATCTTCGTACTCCCCCTTCTCCCTCCTTTGCTCCCCTCACTTCACCCACCTTCCTTCTCTTCTGCTCTTTCTCTCTTTTCCCTCTTCTCAAACTTCCTTCCCTCCCCCTTCCCCCTATTCCTTAGGGGGAAGAAATAAATTATTACAAAGATAGATACAGCCCCCTGTACGCTTCTCACAGATTTCATGCCCCTTTTCAAAGATAACCTAGATCCGTTCGTTCTTTGCTGATGAACGTAGATCTTTTTCGTTTGCTTCCTTTTTTGTTTGTTCGTTTTTTCAAGACAGAGTCTCTCTCTGTTGCCCAGGCTGGAGTGCAGTGGCGCGATCTCGGCTCACTGCAACCGAGGCTCACGCCTCCGGGGTTCAAGTGATTCTCCTTCCTCAGCCTCCCAAGTAGCTGGGACTACAGGCATGTGCCACCATGCCCGGCTGATTTTTTGTGTTTTTAGTAGAGACAGGGTTTCACCATGTTGGCCAGGCTGTCTCGAACTCCTGACCTTGGGCGATCCACGCCCCTCCCTCAGTCTCCCAAAGTGCTGAGATTACAGGTGTGAGCCACCATGCCCAGCTGATGAACATAGATCTTAAGAAAGATACTGTTTGGGTTTTATTGTCCCTTTGAGTTAGCACTGTCTTGTAACAACATTATTTTCCATGCTTGTTCACTGCAAGTACATCACATCTTAGGCATTTTAAGGGTGAAATAAGTGTTGGTCAGCTGTCCTTTGCTATCTAATCTTTTTTTTTTTCTTTAATGATATTGTTTATATTAGAAAACATAGTCCAAGTCCTAAACAACCAATCTACTCAATTTTTCCAATAATGGGAGGGGTTGCTCTCCAATTAATACCTAATGAATCAAATTATATTGTGCTTCCCCAATAGATCTTTGTTCCTTTTTAAATCATTCTGATCTCATTTTAGGGACAATCGTAAAAATTACCAATAGATTAATGACAAAATCTATCCTTAAAAATGGAAGTAGGCCGGACGCGGTGGCTCACACCTGTAATCCCAGCACTTTGGGAGGCTGAGGTGGGTGCATCATGAGGTCAGGAGATCGAGACCATCTTAGCTAACACGGTGAAACCTCGTCTGTACTAAAAATGCAAAAAATTAGCTGGGTGTGGTGGCAGGCACCTGTAGTCCCAGCTACTGAGGAGGCTGAGACAGGAGAATGGTGTGAACCTGGGAGGCGGAGCTTGCAGTGAGCAGAGATTGCACCTCTGCACTCCAGCCTGGGTGACAGAGCAAGACTCAAAAAAAAAAAAAAAAAGGAAGTAAACAGGTAATTTCCCATCCAGTTAAGTTGTGAGTGAAGAACAATATTATTTGAGACTGAAGAACAGTCCCAAAGAACAATATTACCAAAATGATGCAGGCGGGGCACACCTTGTGAACTGAAGGACAAAATGCTTTTGTGAGTCCTAAAACTGTTTTGGTTTACATGTCATCCTTTTCTGATTAGTAAACTAAAGTGTCTTTCTTTGAGTTGTTTCTGTGTATTGAAACCATCTACACATTTAGTAAATACTATGGGTTAAATCTCTCTCTTTAGATAAAATCTTAAAAGTAAGTGATTTTCAAAATTTAAAAAAGCTCTACTAGAAACTACTTGGTTAAGAGTCTAATGAAGCTCAGAAATATTTACTTTGATCTCTTGGGTAAATGGCTAATTAAACAGCCGCATGTAAATGATGTTTACCTGTGGTTCCCTGTGCTGTCAGCCCGAGTCAATCCCTTCTCTTGAGTAAATACATTATCAAAGCCGCAGAAACGCAGATTATGTTCCCTGGAGACCAGATAAGGTCCACAGTGCCCACATAACCTATTAGGCAATTACATAATTGAACTGCCTGCTTTTAAATCAGAAAAATTTGTAATTACTTTTTGTGGAGAAAAAGATGAGTTGGGTACTTCATTAAAATACAAGGTGCCTTAATATTAGTTTTCTCCCAAGTGATATCTGTTTCCGCCCTGGAGAACTTTGTCATAGCAGAGCAATCTGCTGGTGACACTCATAGAGTAGATTGGGTCCTGCCCCCCACCATACACACAAACCAGTTTTATTCACCAGGAAGATGCTTTCCCCAAATGCTGGACTGTTTTCTTGTTCTTATCTCCTGAAGACTCATTTGCTGGGTCATATGAATATCTTCCCATTTAAAAAAAAAAATTGCTATACAGGTAAAATCCCTTCATTCCCTTTAATGTAGAACTTAAGTGTTGATGCTTGCATTTCTATTTAAACACCAAGAAGTTACTTCCATTGTCCAAGAGGAATATTCTTGAACCTTGAGGAAGAGTCAGTTACATCTGCATACTAGGGGAAAATATCATCTGCTGTCTGTATCCACGATTTTTAGTTCTTTTGCTTTTCTGTGTCTGTGTTAGTAGCACTGGTTTGCATATAGAAGGGAATTTAATTTTATCAGATGCATTTACATTCATTTTCTCTTTGTATTGGTACCACCGACAGCAGAAATTGGATTTCTTTAGAGCTAGCATATGTTTTCTTTTAAAAACAAGCATTAAAAAAAAATCTTGAAATAGTAAGATAAACAAAAAGAAAACTGGCCTTTATCCTACTATTCTACTATTTATATATAACCTGTTAACATTATGGTGTATGTTTTTTAATATTTAATATATTGATATGGGAGGCTGAGGTTGGTGGATCACCTGAGGTCAGGAGTTAAAGACCAGCCTGACCAACATGGTAAAAGCCCATCTTTACTAAAAATAGAAAAATTAGCCAGGTGTAATAGCACACACCTGTAATGCCAGCTACTTGGGAGGCTTAGGCACAAGCATTGCTTGAACCTGGGAGGCAGAGGTTGCAGTGAGCTGAGATTGCACCACTGCACTCCAGCCTGGGTGACAGAGCGAGACTCTGTTTTAAAAAATAATAGTAATAATTAATACATTGAAAAACATAGGTTGCATTATTTGTATACATAACCTTGTGGTTTTTTTACCCCCATTTGCTGCAAAGTGAACTCTTTCATACCATTACATGTTCTATTTATATCATTTCAAATGGCTTTACAGAGGTCCCCTGTCCACTGTCACTTCAGTCATTTACCTGTTGTTCAACATTTGTTTCTAATTTTTCCTCTAGTAAAAAAGTTTCAGAGAATATCTGTGCAATTCAGATTTTACAAATATCTATAATATTTTCTTAGAATGAATTCCTAGATGTAGAATTACTAGGTCAAAAGGTGGGTATATCTTTCAGGCTTTTGCTATGCATGGCCAGATCTCACTCTGGAAGGGTCATCAGAGTTACCAGTAATGGATGAAAATAACATTTCTCTGAGTTCTTTATGAAACTAGATACTATCAACTTTTTTTTTTAGGGGCACCAATTTGAGAGATGAAAATGACATCCAATTTTTTTTTGTTCGTTTGACCTTTTTGTTACAATTGAGGTCGAACTTTTTCTCTACCTATTTATTAGCTATTTGTATTTCTTTTATCATAATCTGCCAGCTCATGTTCTTTGCTCATTTTTCTATTAGGTTAGTAATATTTTTTCTTATTGACTTGCAAAAACTTTTTAAATATAAATTTGGAGATTTTGTTACTATCTTTTTAGCAATTTAATTTTTGTCTTTTAATTTTCTTAATGGTGTTTTGGACACAATGTCTTTTCTATTAATATCTTACATCTGTCTGTTTATACATTTGAATATCACAACCGTTAAGTTTTTTGATATAATTTAAGAGTCAGCCTAGATGATTCTTGGGGTTCTAGACATAGCAAGATTAATATTTAAACTGAACACGGAGGAAACTTCTAGTAGAACTGGGCTAATAAAGGAATAGTACTGTAGGTATAATTCATAGAACGGTTTATCTGCCATAATGTCTGAAATATGGAAGTATCAACATCAGTCATTCCACAAATAGTGTGTGCCCTGGCATTTAATTTCCAAGCCCTTTCTCCTGGCTCCTGGGAAGGCTGAAAAGTGAAGAGATGGTTTGTTGGTACTGAGTTAGGCTTCAGACTGCTGAGAACAATGAAACAATTTCTAGTTTTCTCTTCTGGGCTCCAAAAAGAGAGCCTTTATTAGTAACAGGTAAGTTGAAACCCATGCATAGTTCATTCATAAGCACTATCAGAAAGCCTGTGGTAAAATTGTTGTCTAGTGACATTTTTTCAGAGAATTAGCTCCAATTTGCAGAACCCATTTAGTCCCAGCATGAGATGTAATAAAGCAACCTGTTAACTGTTCTCTGAGCTTCTCTATGTGTTAGTGTCATCAGTCTCAGACTGCAAACTCCTTCAAATTGGAGGTTTCCTTAGAAATACACTTTTCTGGAACATCTGCAAGCAGTACATCTTGAAAATGTATTACAGATGTTTTCCTGACTGCAGAAGTTGTGTTTGCCAAGCGCAGTGGTTCACGCCTATAATCCCAGCACTTTGGGAGGCCAAGGAATACAGATCACCTGAGGACAGGAGTTCGAGACCAGCCTGCCCAACATGGTGAAACCCCGCCTCTACTAAAAATACAAAAATTAGCCTGATGTGGTGACACACGCCTGTAATCCCAGCTACTTGGGAGGCTGAGGCACAAGAATCACTTGAACCTGGGAGGTGGAGGTTGCAGTGAGCCAAGATCCCACTACTGCACTCCAGCCTGGGCAAGAGAGCGAGACTGTCTCAAAACAAAGTTGTTTTTGACTAGAAATCCATGATCTATCCTTGTCTCTCCTTGTCTGAGACTAACTTTTGTCTTCATCCCTGCTTATCATCTTTGAGAAATTATCTGTGGAATTATCTTAAAAGATAGGTTGTTTTGTAAACATTTCTATCAAAAAAGTAACGGAAATCCTGGAGATAAGTATTGAGTAGTGAAGATAAATGGGATAAAATACAGATAGTCCCTGACTTCCAATGGTTCGACTTACATTTTTTTGATTTTATAGTGGTGCGAAAGTGATAGGCATTCAGTGGAAACCATACTGCAAGTACCTATACAGCACTTCTATCTTTCTTTTTTAGTACAGTATCCAACAAATTACATGTGAAAATCAACATTTTATTATAAAATAGGCTTTGTGTTAAATGATTTTAGCCATCTGTAGGCTAATGTAAGTGTTCTGAGCAGTTTAAGGCAGGCAAAGCTAAACTGTGATGTTCAGTAGGTTAAGTGTGTTAAATACATTTCTGACTTACAATTTTTTCGACTTGTGGGTTTATTGGATGTAACTCCTTCATAAACTTAAGGAGTGTCTGTGTACAAAGTAAATTAAACTAGCAGTGCAGTGTGCCCACCACATTATTTACCTCACCGTGGAAAAGAGGGCTCAGCGCAGAACTGTTGGCAATGGTGGTATTCTTGTCAAGCATACAAGGACTCAGTAGAAAGATGTTTGTAGTAGATTCCAGAAACAGGTGCAGTGCAGTGATCTGTGTAGGCAGTTGGGATGGGGGCAGTGATGGGAATCAACCTTGGCCTGGCCTTCAAGGGCAGGACCGTATGCCTTCCCCCTACTCTGCAGAAATGGGAATACTGAGCAAGTCATCCCGACAGAGTTATCACAGTGGAGTGAAATCCAGGGACTAGTTTCTAGAAATAGAGGAAAAGCCCCTGGTCACTAGAACTGCACCACAGAAAGGTCCTGGCTGCAAGGCTAACTTGACACCAAGTTCTTTGGCCAGGGGGACTAGAACTCCTTAAATCCCCCTAATCAGCTACTCCAGCTCCTAGGGTAGACCATGGGTCCAGGAGGTCAGCCAGTACTAGGGAGGGCAGAAGGCAAGAACCCTGCAGGGATGTCAGGACTAAAGGCGGTTGCTTTAAAGTGTCTGAAATGCCAAACATGCAAGGCCAGACCTTCCATGCTCTGCTTTAGTGAGTTTCCCTGTCAGAGTGTCTTCACCTTCTTTCATGTTAATCACAAGGAAGGTTATTTTTTCCACCTTGTTCACTGGATAGTTACGTTGTTACCACTTCACTCTTGGCTAATGATGACCTATGAACATTTGTCCATTTCTGCTCTTCATATTAATTTTAAAGACTCATGGGCATTTCCCACAATTGGGTTGGACACTACCCAGTATTTACTGTCATTGTCAGCTACCTGTGGGTCACCATCACCACCGAGGTTTCCTCTCCAGCTACCTAAGGAAATTGCCACCTATCAATAGGAAATGAGAGAAACATACAGTCTGGCAGCGGGATAATGTGACCAGTGGTTTCCTACTAAAAGTTTAACTCTTGTTGCCAGCATATTTCTATTTCTTAGGGGAAAGTACTGACCTGAAAATCAAGAGACATGGCTAGTAACCCAGGCCCTGTGAATTGCCCCTTTTTCTCCACCTCTAAAGTTGGCTCTGATAAAAACCTATGTCTTCCTCCTTGCTCAGGACACATGAGGTATTATGAGTAAGACAATGCCTTTGAGAAAAGATAGGCAGTGTGGTAGGTGAGTTTCCCCAGATCCCCAGACAACTTACAGGCAAAGTGTAGACCATCTTAGTACTTGATTGAAGACTGGAATTTAGAATAAGGGCAGTTATCTTTCTGCTCAGTGCATTCTCTTCAGCCACAAATTTTTCTGCAATCTTCCTATTTAGGGGAAGTTCATGGGTCATTTTGAGGAGGACGGGGATATGGCAGGGTCACATCTTTCCAGATCTTTTTCTCAGTTCAAAGTAATTCTGTCTGGCATGCCTAGAAAATAGGATTCATGTAATGAAAGAATAATTTTTTCCTTCAGAAAGGAGGTCTGAGGCTCTCTGCCTTTTGTATATATCAAAGGGAGGATAAACCTGCCCAGATTAACAGAGGTGGTCAGGTTTCATATACATACTTAACAAGCAGAAGAACATTTCTGCATTACGTAAGATTCAGCCCTCAAAAAGTGTATTATTTTGAGGGTAACTTGTAAAGAATTAGATTATAATAGAAAATAACCTGGTGTTATTTTATCTTGACATTTTAATTTCATTTAAATATAGGAAACAAATCCTAAGTAAAGCTTAACTTAAAATTATATTTGAAGGCTATGTCTTTGAGTCCAAGAGGAATGTGGCTACAGTTTGTTTTTATTTCTTTGTGCTTTTTTTGAAACACTGTAGGCAACAGCATTATTGAGAAAAGCCCCTACAGAAGAGTGTGGCCATAGGTCAGCTATTCACAGTAGTGAATCATCTTGCAGCTTGCCGTCTATTCTGAATGACAATAGTGGAATAAAGGAAGCCAAATCTGCTGTATGGCTCAACAACGTTCCTACAAGGGAACAAGGTAACTATTGTTGAAGTGTGTGTCCATAGCAAAAAGGCATTCAGGGTCATCATCATCTTTCTCAAGGTATACCTGTAGAATATCACTGACTAGTGAATACCTCTGATTTTAATATGCATAATGTATTATTTGTTTTATACCACCTTCCAATAAATACTTATGTTCTCCTTTAGTCTAACAAGAATGGGAAATCTAACTGTAAGTCTGTCGTTCTAGGGAATTTATTTCTAATAAAATAAGTATTCAGAAGTTGTGAAATCTTAACAAAACTAATTGCTTGGCAGTAGATGATTTTGATCCCACAAAGATGAAGATGATTCCATAAAGTACTGTGAAGTTGTTGATATCACTTAATAGAATTTACTCATAATTGTAAACATTCCTTTTAATTATAATAGAACCTTACCAGTGTCTAAACAGTTGATTAAGAATCAATGAATTTATGCCCCCCAAATTTAATAACCAATTTTGAGCACCCAGAAACTGTGATTATTTTAGCACTACTGCTAAGACATGCCATTTAACTGCTTTAATGGTTTTCCAAGACAGTTACGAATTCCTCAGGAATTGCTCGAGTTGATGTACATGTGCAGGATGTGAGACTCACTTATTTTATGTCCCACCCAAATTTGATAGATGTCAGGCCTAATTATTTTGCGTGAAAGCAACATAGTGGCACCTTAATTTAATTTTTAAATTTTTATTTATGAGATACCTTAATTTTAGAATAGATTTCCTTTTAGGAACAGTATTATTTCAGACAAGAAATACATTAACCAAAAAAAAAAAAAAATTGAACATAAAAGTAATGGCAATTGGCCGGGCACGGTGGCTCAAGCCTGTAATCCCAGCACTTTGGGAGGCCGAGACGGGCGGATCACGAGGTCAGGAGATCGAGACCATCCTGGCTAACACGGTAAAACCCCGTCTCTACTAAAAAATACAAAAACAAAAAGTAGCTGGGCGAGGTGGCGGGCGCCTGTAGTCCCAGCTACTCGGGAGGCTGAGGCAGGAGAATGGCGTAAACCCGGGAGGCGGAGCTTGCAGTGAGCTGAGATCAGGCCACTGCACTCCAGCCCGGGCGACAGAGCAAGACTCCGTCTCAAAAAAAAAAAAAAAAAAAAAAAGTAATGGCAGTTAAACACCCAAAGGATCTATTCCTTAACTTTGAAATACATTTTTATTATTATGCATTCAATTTCTAGAAGTTTCAAATGGCTGTGGAGACAAGAGCAAGAAAGAAAACATGGCTGCAGATATCCCAATCACAGGTAAAGCTATGGTTGCCTAAGAGTTTCAGACACAAGATTTAACATTATTATATAATCAGAACATTTTGGGTCAGTGGTTTGTGGACCCCATTAAGAGCACATGTATTCAGCTACTGCATGCTGGAGCAGGAGATTAATCCTAAGAGCAGAACGTATATACTTTTGTTAACATAAACTAAGGTGGAAAATCACCGTGTCTATTGAATTCTTTATCACCATGTTATGTATTTACACCTGTAACATCCTCCATCATGTACCCTTTCAGCACCTGCGTCTGTGTGAAAAGGTCCATCTCCCTGGGGAACACCCAGTCATTACATAGCAAACTATAGATGTTTCTGATTTTACTCTTTCTTTCCTGTGGTAATTGAATATGTATATTAAAATAAGCAGATAATAAAAAAAAAATGCCAGATAGGAAGCTTGTGTTTGCCTCAGTTACAAAGCCTGTCTGATAATTTAAAAATTGCACCAATCAGGCTTCATCTTGATCTATTAAGATTTCGGCACATGTATTAGGCTTGTTTAGGTGGAATCTGAATGATATTATTTTTTTTCTTTTTAGAATAGCAACAGCAGCAATTAGTATTCTGTACAGAGTTCTATTTGTCATACATCTGAATTTACTAGTACCTTATTTTGTAAAGTGGTGTACTACTTCATTATAAATTCAAAGGTCTGACTTTAAATATTTATACAAGTAAATACACCATTGCACCAAGGTACTGAGGCATGCATGTGCATATGTGGTAGTTTTGTTGTTGTTTATAAGCAGAAAAGAATGGCCTGCTTTTATGGCAGTGCAATTCCTGGCATGATTAATTTTTTAAACTCATGTTTTTGTGATGAACTCTGGTTTTGAAAAAGGAGTTTATGGTAGAGCAATTATTGTATATATTTATGCATTCAGATAATATTTTACTCTAAAATGCAGAGTTTTTTTATTTTAAACATTTTCCCCAATGATATGTTTATTGTGTTTTTAGTCTGCATTTTCTGAAAACTCTGGTATGGCTCCCTGTTATTTTTATTAATAGAAATGTAGATGATCCCAAACTACAGATAACCAAGAAGTCATTTGGATACTTTTCCCTTGCATTTACTTTTGGATAGAGAAGTATCTAATGGCCTCTGAATTTATTTCAGTTAAAATTATAAAGGATTATTGAGGAGAAACCAGGAAATTACCTTGTTGTTCATTCTTTCTTCTCTTTTCAGTATTCTTTACAATCATCCCTTGCTGGGAGTAGTTGACTCTCCCCAAAGTTAATGCAAATGTATTTTGTTATATACTTTCTTTATAAGAAAATGGATAATTAAGTACCAGGGTTTCAAATCCTCCCTTATGCAGAAAGAAGTGCAATATGGCTAGAAGCAACCTGGGTTATTTGCCATTAAGACTTTAAAAGAAAGGCCGGGTGCAGTGGCTCACGCCTGTAATCCCAGCACTTTGGGAAGCCGAGGTGGGTGGATTACAAGGTCAGGAGATCGAGACCATCCTGGCTAACATGGTGAAACTCCGTATCTACTAAAAATACAAAAAATTAGCCGGGCGTGGTGGCGGGCACCTGTAGTCCCAGCTACTTGGGAGGCTGAGGCAAGAGAGTGGCGGGAACCCAGGAGGCGGAGCTTGCAGTGAGCAGAGATTGCGCCACTGCACTGTAGCCTGGGGTACAGAGCGAGACTCTGTCTCAAAAAAAAAGAAAAAGATTTTAAAAGAAATTGTAATTCCAACAACCTGCCATTGATCCATCAATAGTTGGCAGTTAAAAAAAAAAAAAACGTTGTACCTATTTTGTGCCAAAATATTAGGCATTAAAAAAAAAAAACTTTGGAAATTTTTTTTAAAACTTAGCAAAGCCATATACTTTGTTAAGGTGTTACTGTTCTGTCCTTGCCAGTGTACTCTCCCCACCCAGGGACCTCCCATGAAATTCATGTTTGAGGGCCTCACGCACCTTGGCACTACTAATACTGTTGCTTTATCCATCATTGCTGCTACTTTGATCTCTTAAGTTCTTGACCATCATCCCTTTATTAAATGTTTGTGACTTTGGCATAACTGTTTGGAGATTTTGCATTTGTTAGAGTAAAGCAAGTACGTAGTTTAATTTAAGATAGAGTCTGTCTGCCTCTTTTTAATAGTTTTGTTGGAGTGTCCTGTTTGTCTGAGTACATGCTGGTTGTGTTTGTATGGGCTGCATTCCTTCTAGAATATTTCAAAGAAAAGAAATATTCCAGAGACTGTCCCCTGAAGGGTAAGGAAATGTAGCAATTGGACTGGGGCTTTGGAACCAGCCTTCAGTGTCAGCTCTTTTACTCCTTGCTCTGTTTCTCTACCCTCTCTGAGTCTCTGTATTGGGAAAGCAGACATACTGCCCAATAGGATTGTCTTAAAGTTTAAATGAAATCATTTGTGAAAGTGCCAAGCAGATACTAGACACTCAGTTTTATCTGTGATATATAATAACATTCATGTGAACATTATTAGTGTTCTTGGTCTTCTGTGCTGGCCCCCACAAGCCCCAGCATTTCCAAACCAGCTATGAGGAGCCTCACAAAGCAAACTCAAAGAAGAACAGAAGTAGAGAGAATGGGGATGCAGCATCACAGAAAGTGCCATTGTGAGATGAGCCCCCGGAAGAGTGGACACTTTCAGTCTGTTCTTGTGGACCTGCATACCTTCCTTGAGTTGTGGTAGCCACTTGGAACCAAGACCCACACAAGTACAGTGCTGCTGCAATGCCTGCAAGACAGTGCTTCCCGGTAGTACCGCTACGTTAGTTTCTGCAAGAAATTGCCACTTGAGAACACAATTGAGATTCAAATCCAGAAGGATGGTTACCTTATCAAAAAGGAATCTCAAGAAGAGTTTGATGATACTTTTCCAACTTCCACTTAGTCCCATGAGAAAATCCATAGAGAAATATCCGAAATAGCTGCTGAAGTATTCCTGAAGATCTCATTGGTCAAGGCCCAGACATCTCTGCCTGGGGGGACCTGTGTGCCCTTAGTAACCCTTACTTGCTCACAGTGGAAGACGTTGCCGGGCACCTGATCACCAGGCGGCAGACCTCCCCTGATGTGTGTGCTGCCCCACAAGTATTGATGAGCTAATGCAGCATTTTCCAAAATGTGTTATTTGCAGTGCTCCACCCAGAAAATACATCAATTAATACATATTTTGTTGCCAAGCCCTGCATGATCCTTCTCTCTCTCTGCAGTATGCATAATGCATAGAAACATAGTGAAGGCTTGGAGAAGACTTTCAGCAAAGGAATTTTTAAAATTGTGATCCTAGAGTTTCAGATAACTTATCGTTTATTTGAAAATGGAATTTTTCCTGTTAACAGCCAACAGAATTAATGTTCTGTGGAACATGCTTTGTGAAACATACACACATATATGTGGAACACTTTTGAAAGCAGTGAGTCCAATGGGGGCACCAGTTTCCTCAATACACTAAAATTATCTTCAACATTTTTCTGTGGTTTCATTTTGTGGGAAGCTCTCTTGTACGTGAGATTGCTTTATAAGGAAACTTTGGGCTGCTTTAGTGTAACTACACCCAGATGTTATGACTGACAGCTGTTTGTTACAGCTGTTCCTTGAATTGATGAGAAGGTTACAGTAGTAACTTTAGGCGCCCAGAAGTGCTATTCTTCAGTGTGGGATCCTTCTGTGTGTCTTTATTTGCTTTTCAGCCATTTCAGAAGAAGTATAAGAGAAGTATAAGAGAAGACATGGCTGAGGTGAAATCTGGGAAGTCACGGGAGGTTGGGGGTGGGAAGCTGTGAAGTCATATCTTTATCAGAATGAGGGGGTCCTGGGGATGTTTAGCCTGAGAAGGGCACAGTAGTTTTTTAAATATTTGAGGAGCTGCCATATACCAGGCAGAATATTTATCGAGCTTAATTATAGAGCGTAGCTCAGTAACAAAACAACTTTCTAGCTCTTCATTTCAGCAAAACCAAGTTCAGTATCTTCCAGGTGTGAGTGCTTGAACCATGGCAGGAACCATGACTTTTTTTTTTTTTGAGACAGGGTCAGGGTCTTGCTCTGTCGCCCAGGCTGGAGTACATTGTTGTGCTCACAGCTTGTTGCAGCCTCTGTCTCCTGGGCTCAAGTGATCTTCCTTCCTCAGCCTCCCAAGTAGCTGGGACTACAGGCGTGTGTCACCATGCCTGGCTAATTTTTATATTTGTTATAGGATGGGGTTTCACCATGTTTCCCAGGCTGGTCTCAAACTCCCGAGCTCAAGCAGTCTGCCCGCTTTGGCCTTCCAAAGTTCTGGGATTATAGGCATGAGCCACCTTGCCTGGCCCTGTGGCTCTCTAAAAGAGGCATCGTGGAAGGAATTATTGCCTCTGTGACCCCTGACATTCCTTCTAATGCCAAGGGACTGTGCTTCTTCCTCTGTGCTAATAGAATCCAGTGTGCCAGCATTCTCATCTCATTTCCCTTTCTCATTTGCTTATCACCCCAAAATGGAGGTCATCTTGGCTGAGGCTCCTCCTTAAAGAGTCTGCTGTCACTTTGAAGGCATCTGCTTTGTTAATCATTATTATGGAGCATGCGAGTTTTCTGTGTTTAGATTTACATACAAACCCTCCTGGGCACACACCGATGCCCCACCCACAAACACAGAGTCAGTATTCCATAGCCTGTATGATCTGTTGTTGTGAATATATTCTACCCCTTTTATTAGTCTAGTTGTTGTTCACTGAAGAATCCAGGTGGAAATCAAAGATGAATTTTTGTATCTATAAATGTATGGTTTTCTGTATATAATAAGTACTATATAATTAGATGTATTGATACAATATATATTATATATCATATAATTATATATAAAATCCTTAATTATATTAATTAATTAATACTTTTACATGGGCTGAATCCTGGGATACCAGGAACCACAAAAGATGGGATCCCTGCCCTCACTGAGCCTCCCTCATCTCTAACCTTCACAACAGTCTTATAGGGTAAACATTGTACTCACCCTGCAAGTGGTCAAAGAGAAACTTAGAAAGGTGTCCTGCTCAAGGCCATGTTGCTAGTGTGTTAGATCTTGAATTAAACTTAGACTTTGGGATTTGGGCCCTTGAACTCCTTCCGTTTCACTGCCCTGCCTCTTTTATTTATTTTATTATTTTATTTTATTTTTTTATTATTTATTTGTTTATTTGTTTTGAGACAGAGTCTCACTTCATCACCCAGGCTGGAGTGCAGTGGCACGATCTCGGCTCAGTGCAACCTCTGCCTCCCAGGTTCAAGCGATTCTCGTGCCACAGCCTCCTGAGTAGCTGGGATTACAGGCACGTTCCACCATGCCCGGCTAAATTTGTATTCTTAATAGAGACGGTTTTGCCCTGTTGGCCAGGCTGGTCTTGAATCCTAGCCTCAAGATATCCACCCACCTTGGCCTCCCAAAGTGCTGGGATTACAGGTGTGAGCCACCACGCCCGGCCTACCCTGCCTCTTTTATTTTACCAAAAAGACAGCTGCATCAAGATGTCCGGATCAATTAAACATCAGTGTACATCATAACAGAAGATGGGCTTTGCAAAGCTGCTTCTGAGAGCAATGATAAACAAAGCTTGCCTTTCCTTTCACTTGGGTTAGGCCTGGAGAGGTGGGCAGCATGCAAGGATTTTCAAATGCAGCTCATCCCAAGAGGTAGGCCTTTTATAAAGTGGGGCAAACCTGAGCCCAGCTGGGCTGCTGGGAGGTCGGTTTCCCTGAAATACTTCCTGACCTAATATACAGGTTAGTTTGCCTGAAACACTCAGGCCATGAGCAAAGTGATGCTTATCTAGATTGGGAGAGAAAGTCTGCCTTTTGAACTACTTATATCCCCAAAGTGAAAATTTCCCACATTGACAATTTTGTTTGTATTCACACTAAATTTACCTTTCAGCATTAAGTGAGTTTTAATTTTAGCAGATGATGCAGCTATGCTAAATGTCATAAAAATACAGAACCTAGCACAGTATCTGGCACAGAGTGGGCACTTAATTTGTCAAATGAATAAAAATGGGGATATTAAGGAATTTTCTTAAATGCTTGTTGATTCAGGACAGAATACTATCTCTTTCAATCATTCATTCCACCAGTACTTTTCCCACCCCACGTGCCCATCCTGGCAAAACTAGTCTCCTTAAGCTCCATGTGAAAAGGGCTCTCAGCTTTTATCTCAAGAGGATTAAGCCTCTAAGAATGTCCATTCAGCCTGTCGTTCTTTTGACACCAATTCTCTTGGTCAAGCTGTGTTGAAAGTGGTTGCCTGACTGTGCCATTCCTCATGGATATTCTTTGGCAAGCTGAAATATGCAAGGTAATATTTCCTTGCGTATTTCCTAAGACATCCATTTAGAATCTTTCCAGGAGGTCAGCTTAGATTTGGAGGGTGCCACTTGGAGTTCTAGGCAGTGCTTCCCAAAATGTGATTGCTTGAGTTTTACATCAATTCAGAAAAGGGCTGGAAAGATACAGTGGCTAGGTTGTCACTGGTGACTGGATTTATCCTGGGAGGAAAGACTGCAGTGATGACTTTGGGCTCCCAAAGCACAGTGGCATAACACCGCTACTACTGAGGCTTTACCGAGAATGTGCTTCACCTCTCCTGCCCCAGAAGCACTTTCCTGACAAGAATCAGTCGAGACATGTTACCGGTTGTGCCTGGGACAGGAAACCCCCAGCTTGTGCCAAACCAGGGGAACCGCCATATGTTGCTGGATTGTCCATTGAAAGTCCACATGGCCCTGTCTCTGTGCCAGGGCTCAGCCTGCTGGGGCTTCACCCATGGAGCCTGTTCCCTGCTACTTGCCATAGCAAAACAGTCCTCATTATATTGCAGGACAGTGCTGTTTATTTAACCTGGTCATTAAAGGATGAAAGGTATCTTTCTGATGGATCTTCTGGACTGGATGCTTCTACCTTCAAGGAGATGAACTCATAAATGCCAGGAGAAATTCTCCCCAGTGGCTCATGGTAGAATCCCATGTAGAGTTTTAGAACATACCCATGGCCCAGCCACACCCTTGTGCAATTATTTCTGAACCTCTGGGAGTGGCACCCAGGCATAAGTACTTTGTAACACTTCCAGGTAACTTCTTAGGTTTGAGAACTATGGAGCAGGGGTCTCAGTTCAAAAGAACCCTTATAGGTCCTGTTGTAAAGCACCCTTATTTTACACAGAAGACTCTGAAAGATGAAATCGAGCTTTAAATATTTTAATAAAATCAGGGGTTGGAGTGTATTATTTTCCTAGGGCTGTTGTAACAAAGAATCACAAACTTAAAACAACAGAAATGCACTCTCTCACAGTTCTGAGAGCTAGAAGTCTGAAATCCAGGCATCAGCAGGGCCCTTGCCTCTGAAGGCACTAGCTGGTGGCTCCTGGCTTGTGGGAGTATAAGCCCTGTCTCTGCCTCTGTCTTCACTTGGCCTTCTCTTCTGTGTCTTTGTGTCTGCTGTTCTTAGAAGAACATCAGAAATGGGATTTAGGGCCCACGGTAAATGCAGAATGATTTCATCTCGGGAACCTTAACTAATATGTCTGTAAAGAACCTATTTCCAAATAAGGTCACATTCTGAGGTTCTGGGAGGACATGAGTTTGTCGGGTTGAGGGGAACAACACTATTCAACCAACTACAGGGAATGAGGATGGACTTCTTCATATTTTACATTTTTAGCATCCAGTTCATCTTCTATAGTAATTATTCCTGCACCTATCATAAATAATGGTAAAGATAATATTGCCATTTCTAATTTCTCTCATTAAATAAATCATTGCGTACAAAGGGCTAAAATATACTGTTTTTTAAAAAGCTATTTATATCAATAAAATACAGCTTTCTGACCAGGATTACTCAAGTTGAAAAGTTAAAGGTGTCATGAGGTTGAGAGTTGAAAATTCACCTCTCACGACTGAACAGTGTTAAATGGCAAGCAAAAGTGTTTCAGCTCATTTGGGGAATGTCAGT